GTATGACATGCTGGCTTTAACAGTCTGGCAGCCTTGTTTTCGGATGTTTCAAGGATCCTTTAAGATCACTTGATCACCGAACGTGTATAGTCTAAGTCGTTACTTAGAACTATACTTCGCCTTAATAACCGAAGTTATTAAGTAATAGGATTCTTAGTAAAGCCGCAGCTTCCTATTGAATCCTAGTTGCCTTTAGTCTATTAGTCTATCTCACTCTTAGGTATAGTCAATACAAATAATATAGACTATATTTACGATAGACTAATACTAATTGGCATAATGCTATTAGTCTATAGTCACAGTATCTTAGATATAGTCTATACATTCCTATATAGACTATACGTAGATAGACTATACCAATCGGCATTTGTTCGCGTGGCCTGATAGGCCCTATAGTAGTATACTACTAGGGAATCTTAATAGAAATCTTATCTTAGTAGCATTACTACCGAAGTGTATTGCTACTACTATATAGTCTTACTATTAAGAGACCTTTGATTAGTAGTACTTCCTATAGTCGGGGCTGTACTTAGTAGTATTAGTAGCCTTAATTAATTAAGACTCTACTAAGTCGCGAAGCCTCTATTCGAAGATTCCGAGGAACCTTTTGTATACGTGAACTCGGTGAGTTCGTTCGCCGGCATAATCCGGGAAGAGTTGGGATGCGACCGGCCGCGGTTCGGCGCAGTCCATTCCGGTCCGGCTGGCACCGGTCCGGCCGGTATGCGGTCCGGTGACAGACTTAGACTATGTGCGCGAGCCGCTTGCGAACAAGGGCCGACAAGTCTTAAGTGCGACCGCCGACAGACTTAGACTATGTGCGCGAGCCGCTAGCGATCTAGGGCCGACAAGTCTCAAGCCTATTAGAGTACCTTCAAGCGATCTAGGGCCGACTAGTGCGAAAGGCTAAGTCGCCCTATCGCACAAGGTTCGGCTGGTTCAACGAATAGAACCTAGCAAACAATTTCGGTAGTAAGGGGGAGAATCGGGATAGTAGCCGAAAGAGTGCAACCGTTACACACCTCCCTCCTTTAATACCAACGTCCTCGTTGGTGGAAGCAGAAGCAGGAGGTAAAGCAACCCTACCGGCGTTGACGTTTTGGGTTCATACCTACGGAAGTAGAACCCGACGCGGGACGTTTGCGTATATAACCCGCGCTGTGCCGCCTATCTTCGCCGCACCCCGACCCAGGGGAGGGTCGTTAGGCGAAGAACGGAC